TGGTATCAAATCAGTTTGACCAACCGGACTTCTTCTATGCTGCAAGAGCCTGCAGGTTTTTCCTCAGGAACAGATGAATATTCTGGTATGTATGAGCCTACCTTTCTGTCCAAAAGTCCTCGACATTTGCCACTATCTGAGTGCTTATAGAATGCCTGATACAAAGGCATGTTATTTCACGCAACATAGCATCTTATTAGCAAATTCACTCTGTATCAAAAATATGGAAAATTAGCCTATAAAAATGGGATGAATTTCTGGTATCATACACTATCACATCTGGATGTCCTGATAAAGCACCAGAATAGGCTTCTGAGCATATAGCCAATGTGTGAAGGCTCAAAGGGCATCTTCTTGCAGGATGGGGTACCATAATCTAGAATCTAGAATGCACAATCTGAGATCTTTATATAGGACTGTGTTGTAAATAAGACTACTGCTTAGAACCAAGAGGTAGAAACAAATTGGCCCCATTTAGCATCATTCCCAGGGGCTGCATGTGCATGGATGGGGATAATAAGTCTTGGGTCAGCCATGGTTATCTGCATTGGAGAAAGCCCTGCAAGACACACAGCCCATGTCACATTGTCCACAGGTGTGCTCTCCAACTATCCTTCCCCAAACATGAAAGCTGCCACTCCAGGTGGGGGCTCATTCCATGGATGGACTTTACAAACATAGGCCAAGGGCAGTGTTTTCTTTGTCTTGTGGCTGAACTGACCCAAGAATAAGTAATTAAGATACCATGTAGGTAAGACCTGTGTGTGTGTGTGTGTGTGTGTGTGTGTGTGTGTGTGTCTGGAGGTTATTGGTCATACAATTTAGAAGCAGTTTAAAGTCTTCAGTGGGGTACAATTAGGATGGCCTACTGATAATGAAATTAGAGAATAAATCTAGACATTTTAAAACATTTTTAGAAAATTAACATAATACATTCACTTTTTCCTTGAGTATGCTCCTAATATTTTAACACATGCATAGATTTTGGAATCTGTGACCACAACCAAAATACAAAACAATTCCAATACATCAATGAATTTCTCATGCATCCTCTTCATATTGACTCTCTTCCAATCCCAAACATTTGGTAACCACTGATCAATTCTATTTAATATTTTTACTTTTCCAGAATATCATATAAATGGGATAATATAGTATGTGACATTTTAGACTGTTTTTCCCTATATCATAATGCACTTGAAATTCATTCATGTACATATCAGTAATTTTTATTGTTTTTTTTTAAATTTTTTTAAACATTTATTTAGTGTGTGTGTGTGTGTGTGTGTGTGTGGCCAGTTCAGCTCACCTGGGGGCGCGGCTGGCTGGCATGTGGTGCTGGGGGATCGAACCACGGTCCCTGTGCTTTGCCAAGTTTGTTCCAAGTAGGTGCTTTAGACCACTGAGCCATCTCTCCAGCCCCAGTAATTTTTATTGTTGCATGGCATTCCATTGTGTAGATATCCCATAATGTATGCATTTACCCACTGAACACTTCTGTCCTTTCCAGTTTGGGATGGTTAGAAGGGATACTATAAGCATGCATGTACATAAGGCCTTGAATTATGTCTTTTTTTTGAGACAGGGCCTCATTGCATAGTTCAGACTGGCCTTGAACTCACTATGCAGCCCAGGATGGCCTTGAACTTATGGTGATCCTCTGCCTCAGCCTCCTGACTGCTACAATTACAGGCATGCACCACCATGCTCAGTATTATGTCCCTGAATTATGAATGAGTTCCATTCCAGGAGAATAAATTGGGTTTATTAGTAATCTGACAAAGTGTCTTACACAGTTCACCTGTGAAAGTTCACAATGCAAATGTTTAGAAAGTGAGGACTAACTGTGCAAGTGTGTGAAAATAAATTTTCTTTTTTCCAGGTTAAATACTTAAATGTGAGATCACTGGGTCATAGGGGAAGTGTACATTCAGCTTTTTAATAGAGTGATACACTGTTTTCCAGATTGCCATTACTATTTTGTATTTGTATTAGTGGTTTAAGAGTTATTCCAGTTCTTACCAGCACTTGGTATTCCTAGAGTTTTGAATAGTTCAAAATTATGAGAGCATCTAAAATGGCTGAACCTCCCAAGTGTATGATGGATACCAGTGTAGAGACCCTTTGTGTGTGTGTGTGTGTGTGTGTGTGTGTGTGTGTGTGTGTACTTGGGATTGAATTAAGGACCTTCACGTTGAGCTACATCCCAAGCTCCCCCATCCCATCCTCACCGACCCTTTCAAAATTTTGAGACAGGACCTTGTCTTTAGTCTAGGCACAAAGTCATGAACCTCCAGCTTCAGCCTCAGAATGCTGTGATTATACATCTGTGCTACCATGCCTGGCTGGGCCTATGCTTTTTACTGCTGTATATTTCTTGTGAGCCAGCACCTTGAAAACCTGGCTCTATTGCTGCCCAGAAACTGAATGGAGAAATTGAAGCACTATCTGGAAAAAAATGTTCATGTTTGAGATGCACTGTGTACTGACTGAGACTAGGATACAAGGAGGAAGTATATATGCTTTTTGAAAAACATTATTGTAGAATAGTTGACGTACAGTTGGGGTGCAAGGCTGTAACATTATCTCTATTATTCCTGGAAATCTAGTTTTGTCTCCAGCTGAGATGAGGGAGTGAGATATATGAAGTACTATTTAAAATCTGATACTGCCATGGAGACACCTCCATTCCAACCAATTTGTTTCCTGGTGGTTCTCAACTCACATAACCAATTAGATAATTTGGTTGGAATGTAATCAGCAAAGAAGTCACAAAGCCAACATTCATTTAGATCTTGGCTCAATCCAAAGACTGTGGTAGTCTTTTGGGGAATACAGACACCGAGGCGCTTGTACCTGTATTATTCTCAGACATCCCTCATACTTACCTACTCTTTCTGTTTTTGATGAACCAAGCCATTTACTTTTAAATAAAAGCATGACATGAGTGTGCTTTGTGGGGGTCTGACTTAGTCTTTAAAACTGAGGGTTATCTTTCCATATGTCTTATGGTCTTTTAGTTAGGTCTACAAAGCATGAATTGGCAAAATGACTCCTATTCCACTGTATGTAGTAGGAGTAGAGTTGAATTCTAAAACCATGTTTGCTGCACAGAGATGCCCAAATTTAACACAGCAATAAATCACTTAGATGGACAATCTTCATTTCGTATATCAATTCATAAAGTGAAAATCCCTAAACAATGCAAAAAAAAAATCTCAATTTCAAAAAAATTTTCAAGCAGGAATCTTGAATATAGTCAAATGATGTTCAATGCCAAAATATAACTAGACCAAACATTCATAAGAGAAGCATATTACATGTAAATGGCTACTAAAAACAAAGCTTCATTACTTTTTTTTTTAAGCATTCAGAATTGCTTCATAGAATATGATTGTACTTACCTTCACTGGGTTCCATATCTTCATTTCTTTTTGCATCTTAGTGCATGAGATTTTGTTAGAAATTTCTCTGTACAGATTCCTTTTGTTTTTGGTATTGGGGTTGAATGCAAAGCCTTTACAGAGCTACATCCCCAATCTTACTTTTTTTTTAGACAGGGTCTCACTAAATGGTTAGGTTGTCCAGGTTGGGCTTGAACTTAGGATCTTGTCTCTGTACAGAATCTTTTGAAGACAGACTTACTTCCTTCTGTATTACTTACAGCAGTTCTTTGGGAGCTATTTTAATTTTTACAAAGTTGTAAAGTATGCATTTACACAGACATGTAACTAACCAAGTCCTTTTAATCAATCAAATTTAATAAGAATGTAGCCATTATTTTTAGTATAAGTTCTTTGAAATTTTATAAAGAAAGTGGTATGGCTAAAATCATTCTCCTATTCATCTGAAGAGTTCCTATGCAAGGTAAATTCCCTAATTTTGTGTAAGGGTTGTATAAACTTTTCCATGTTCAACACTTCTATATGACTATTAAGAAAAAGACCAATAAAGGCCACATTTCCTCTACCTATTCTCAAATTTAGAGCTTTCATAGGACTTTTCTCCAGTTAGCATTCTCTAATATTAACCAAGGGAAATGCTAGATGCTTGCCTTTCTCTAGTGTAACTTTGTTTAATTAATTTAGTAATAAGGCACTAGTGGTGGCTAAAGATAACCACACATTTATTGTATTAGTCTGGTATGTTAACCATTTACATGATGATCAAAAATAGCATATTTTTCCATTAATTTTTATAAGGTAACAGAAAATATAAAACTAAAATTTTATCAAATTTATTCAATACATGAATTAACTTGTTGTAATGACATATGCCCAAAAGACACATGGGATAGTCTGTATGTTAACAAATGCACTGCCATGTGTCCTTGGGCTAAACTGTTAGGTGGTTAGGATATGGGCTATCCCAAACATCCTTGCTATGTGCATTATATTCATATTCCCAGTTTGTCTAATAACACTGCTAAGGCTTCCCTTTGGCATTAGTTCTGTGGTTTGAACCCCCATAATATTGATTAAACATTTCCTTTCAGAATAAGTGTTTTTATTGTGTTAAAGTCCTAAGTTATTTGGTATCAAACAAGTGTGGCTGAACATACATATGTCCTGAGGCCCAGGAATTCTACCATCTAAGTATATACTCAAACACAAATATGCTCTTAGAAGCATTATTTATTATGACCCTAAGCTGTAAACAATGTAAAAGTCCACAAATAGTAGAATGGATGAATTGTGATACACTGGTATAATAGAATTCTATACATAATGAAAATAAATGAGCTTCTGCCACATGCATTGATCATGAGACTTACTTAACACACCGGATATTAAAGACTATATAATATATAATCCAATTATAATATATTATCCAACTTATATAAAGGTTTTTAATATGCAAAACTAATTTATAATATTAGAAGTTAAAATGAGGCAACAACTGACTCCATATTTGGTACAAGAAATGCAAGTTTACCTCCTTTATTTTTTTCTGGGTACCAGAAATTGAACTCAGGATCTTGTACTTGCCAGGCAGACACTTGTGCCACTGAGCTATATTCCTCACCCTACTTCCTTTCTTTTAAAGCATTTCTATTTACAGTATATCTTTCCAGCACTTCCAGTCAGGAAATTGCTTAGTACTGGTTCACAAAAAGACAAATATTGAAATAAAAATAAACAATTTGAATGCTTTTTAGCAATTTAACAGAAATTTAAGTGGCCTGAAGCTAATAAAAAAATTTAGGATTTTTTAAATCCTAAGATTCTCATCATTTAATTTATTCAGAAATTGTGCACATGTATGCACATGTGTGTGCACATGTGTTTTATAGGACAGCAAGTAGTAAACATATTATATAGCATCTTAAACTTCTGAATGTTATTGTATTTGCAAGCAACACTAGTTACAGGGTTGATTATGACTTAAAAGTTTTACAAAAATGTTACATCAGAATTCTCATAGTTTCTACCTTGTGAGTTTTCTGGTGGACAACGAGGTTTGACTTACAACTGAAGAACTTCCCACATTCTTTACATTCATATGGTTTTTCTCCTGTGTGAGTTTTCTGATGACGGATGAGGTTTGATTTCCTACTAAAGGCTTTCCCACACTGAGGACACCCATTGGATTTTTCTCCTGTATGTATTCTATGATGAACAGTAAGGATTGCTTTCTGACGGAAGGACTTCCCACATTCATTACAAATATAGGGTTTTTCTCCTGTATGAATTCTCTGGTGAAGAGTGAGGGTTGTCTTTTGGCAGAAGGACTTCCCACATTCATTACAAATGTAGGGTTTCTCTCCTGTGTGAGTTCTTTGATGCACAGTGAGGGTTGTCTTCTGGATAAATGCTTTCCCACACTCATTACACTGATACGGTTTTTCACCTGTGTGAGTTCTTTGATGATCAATGAGGTATGACTTCTTTCTAAAGGCACTTCCACACTGAGGACATAAATAGGCTTTTTCCCCTGTATGTGTCTTGTGATGTCTAGTGAGGGTTGCCTTCTGGCGGAAGGACTTTCCACAATCAATACAAAGATAGGGCTTTCCCTCTATATGTGTTTTTTCATGAAGATTGAGAGCTGTCTTCTGACGGAAGGCTTTTCCACATTGATTGCAAACATAGGGTTTCTCGCCTGTGTGAATTCGCTGGTGTTCGATAAGATAAGACTTCCTTCTGAAGCTGTTTCCACAGTAAGGACACTGAAAAGGTTTCTCTTCTGTTTGAGATCTCTGATGCATAATAAAAATAGACTTTCTGCACAGGAATTTTTCATATTTGCTGTATGCAGAGCGCTTTTTTTCCATAAGTTCATGAGAATGGACACCCAGATCATACTTTTCCATGAATGCAATTCCATCCTTATTGTATCCAAATGTTCTTTCTCCTTTGTGAGCTCTACTATATGAAAATAACTTTTCTTTGATAAAGAAGGATTTGTCATATTCATTATATTCACATGGTCGTTCTGGAGTTTGAACTTTCTGCTGCTGAGTAGGCTCTTGTTTACCACCGAGATCCCTTTCCATTTGTTTAGTGAGATTTACTGCAAGATGAATTTTTCATACTTAGTATTAAGAACTGATTTTTTCCCACCCATTACTCTCACCAACATTTTCTTTTACATGGTTTATATTTCTAATAATTCTGAACTATTTTTCAAAACTTTTCCATCAGATTTATGTTCATATAATATTGTTTTTGAAATAATATGGTTCTTTCCTAAAGTAAGAGCTTTCCCATAAATGTTACTTCTCTCCTTATTTTATTTATTTATTTTTTAGGGAAGGGTCTACAGGGTGTTCAGGGTCTAACTACTAGATTGATCTCGTAGTGATCCACCTGTTTACAGCCTCCCAAGAACTGGGATTTCAGGCGTGCATCACCACGCCCAGTCTCAATTTCCACCTCAGTGTGCCCCGGGGGCAGGGCCAGTACAGCAGGCCCAGGGATTGAACCCCTGGCTCCTACGCCTGCTTGCAGGTGCTTTAATCCACTGAGATATTTGGCTGGTCTCTTAATTTTTTTTGTGATTGATGCATACAACTGATCTAGAATGTATGCGTTTTGGTATTCTCTGAACTTCACTAAAATATCTTCAGCCTTTCCACTGTCTAGAAAATAATACAATTAACAACACTACAAGTCTTCACATAAATGAAGAGAAAATGTACAAAACATGCACACATACTCTGCTTCACCATTAAAATGAGAAAAAAATGGCATGAACAAAAAACAATTGTAACATTGCCATGCTACAATTACTATAAGTTGTATGGAGAAGGTATTAAAAACCCAGGGAGAAGTAAGCAGGAGACAAAAATGGTGAAGTAGGGTTTTTTGTTAGAGTGGGAAGACTCAGAAATAATAAAGTGACTAGCAAGGGTCCTAAAAAATAAGCAATATGACAAGGAAAATTATTTAGGCAGAGATAAAATCCCATTTATTCCCTCATACCTCATTAAAGGTATAAGATATTTCCACTCACTTTTATTCAGTTCCATTTAGCTTTTCTTCACCAATACACTTTCTCAAGTTTGTTCAAATTCAGTGTTGATAGTAACACTGGTTTAGAGACTAGACCATGCCTGTCTATATAACAGTGATTTACTCGCTGGTGAAAGCAGAGAATTAGAAAAACATACTCCAGGTGTTAAGTATTTTGTCCTAAGGACAAGAAAGTGATTAAGACAGTCCTTTAAACAAATTATCAAACCTAAGAGTGATGCCGGACCTTAACTTACAGGTAGTGTCAGAAGACAGGTTGTTTTTGTGTGGACTACTGCATCCTTGAGCTTCATAGTTGGCTAACTGCGTAAGAATCTACAGGAAACATATATAGTATTTGCTACGTAACGAAAGGTTTGGCTGTATATATATATATTTATTTTTTTTTCCAGTGCGAAGGGCTGAACTCTGGGCTATAAGCTAGATAAGTAAGTATTCTACTACTGAACTACTTCCTAGCCCACATGAAGTTTATTTATTTTTTGTCTTTTTGAGACAGGTTCTCACTATGCAGTTCATGCTGGACTTGAGCTCACTTTGTAGCCCAGGCTGGTCTTGAACTTGCAACAATCCTCCTTCCTCAGCCCCCCAAATGCTGGGATTACATGCGTGCACCACCATGCCTGGCTATGAAGTATATTTAGAAGCCCTGAACAGATGAAATTCTCAAAACGAGAAATATATTTGCAGTGACTAAATGCAGTATTAGGAAGGATTTACGTTTGATATAAGAAGTAATATGTTTTTAAGAAGTAACATTTTTAACACTTCTTATTTTAATGTATTTAGTACAGGGTCTACAGGGCCTTACTACATAGTTCGGACTCATAGTGATCCTCCTGTTTTCAGCCTTCCAAGCACTGGGATTAGAGATGCACACCACCACACCCAGTCTAAGAGGTAGTATTTTTATCATGACAATATAATCTGCTTTTGGTTGAGTTTTTTACTCAGTAAAAAAAAATAAATTCCAAAGACAAAGTAAGCAGTTCAATAATGATAAAATAATATGGCTCTCATTCTGGAATAGGTCAGTGGCAAATGAGAATAAGAGCACATGTAATGATAGTACAGAGTGAGAAAATATAATGCAAATTGTGGCAAGGTCATTAAAGTATAAATGAAGGAATAGATATGATACTATGGAAGTGGGGTTATGGGAATAAAGGAATACAGGAACAAATGAGGATAAATAAGATTATAGGAATAAAAATAAAGAAGAAAAATAAGAGTAATGATAACTATTATTTCAAATACAGTGACAACCAAAAAGATGAGACAACTGATACTTATATTCCTGTAAACAGATTAAAATATACCACTAGAGTGAAAGAAATGGGCTAAAATATCTGCCTAAAAGCCACTGGCATAAAATTTGGAAATCACTTTTTTGTTTTGGTACCAGGGATCAAACTGAGAACCTTGTGCTTGCCAGGAAGGCACTTATACTGCTGAGCTATATCCCTGGCCCTGAAAAATCACAATTTGAGAATGGATCTGATTCTTAGAGCTTGCAGAACTTTTATAAAGACAAGAATTGAAGGTGACAAAAGCCCCTTTTTAAAATGTGGTAATGGAATGTTTACTCAGCCATGAAGGTATACAAAATTAGGTCATTTTCACAAAATCGGATGACATTGGAGATCATCCTATTATGTAAAATAAGCTAGACTCAGAAAAAACTGCATGTTTTCTCTCAAACGGAATCTAGAAAAAAGACAACATGAACACAGAAGAGAGACTAAGAGAAGAGGAAAACGATTGGGGAAGAGGGAAGACAAGGATAAGGGACGTTAGTAAGGAAGAGGACATGATCAAAGTATATTATATGCATGTATGAAAATGTCACAGTGAAGCCTATTACCCTGTATAATTAATATATGCTTTTTTTAAAAAAAGCTCAGTTAAGGGCACATTAGATACCAGTGAAAGCCTAAAGAAACAAATTCATGTTTTTCTTCCCTGTTCTGTCTTATTTCCTGACTTTCTAGTCTGGAAGCATTTCTTGCTAACTCCTTCTCTGAAGATTCCTGATTCTGTTCTATTTGATCCTGTTTTCTTCTCTAGAGACTTCTAGATGGTGTGTGCTCCCCAAATGCTTTGCCAACACTCTCCACTTCCTTTCTTGTTGGCGTGATATATGAACATTAGTAGTCTACTTGGAAAAATTAGGATCTCTCCAAATCGGCTCCTATAGCAGAGTCTGAGACTTTAAAAAAACAAACAAACAAACAAACAAACAAACAAACAAAAAACAGTGTCACATTAAATTGCTAAACTGCCTGGGCTCAAATATGCCATTCACCCAGGGTGGTGCTGGGATCCTACACGTGTGCCACCATGCCTGGCTTGAGTCCATTTTTAATGCCTTATTACATACATCTTTCTAGACCTGCTTTTTAAAACCTTCTTGCCTATATTCTGGCAAGTCAATAATAAGACTCATCCTGTTTTGGTGTTACCAGCAAAAATTTAAACCAGACAAGTTCTGGCTCACATATACAACTCCCAACTGACCCAGCCCTAACCACCTCTTACCATAGTAAACACCAAAGATACTCTTCCTTGCTCTTTCACAAGTTATTTTAGAACCAACACAGGAATTTACCCCACTCTCCCCAGAAAGGCTTATTATGTCAGGTTTCAATTTAGATATATGAACCAAATTATAGGGAGGGAAGTAACTTCATCCTCACATGTGACAACCATAACACAACACAGTATATATTTTTTTCACCCTTTAATGTTTAATATTTTTTTCATCATTTAATGTGCATTTAAACATATTGCACATATTTGGGCCTTTTATTTCAAATGTTGAGTCATCTTTAGATGTTTTACTCTTACCCCAGCATTTGCTATTTTGTTATATTCATTTTGCTTTATATTGATGATATTCAGGTTATTTATCATTGCTGTCTTAATATCCTTTCTGCAAATTGTACTACTTCTACTTTTTAGGCTTGTTTTTATTGAATGACTTTTTCCCTATTGAATGTTTTTGGTCTCATGCTTGTATGTCATATTTTCCTGCTTTTTTATATGCCTACCTAATAACTTTTTTTTTTTTTTTTTGAGATGGGGGGTCTTACCTTGTTGCCCTGACTGGCCTCAAACTTCTGTTATCAAGCAATGCTTCTGCTATCAGCCTCCCAACTTGCTGTTGGATTACAGGCATGTACCACTGTGCCTGGTTTTATACCCAGTGATTTCTAATTGCTTGTCAGACATTATCAATTTATTGTTTAGTTCAAGACATGGTTGTAGGGCCGGCCAGACAGCTCAGCAGATTAAAGTGCCTGCTTAGGCAGAGTGCAGCAGTTAGGGTTTGATCCCCAGCATGCTGTGCCCCAGGGCACGCTGAGCCCACAATTGAGACTGGGAGTGGTGGCATGTGCTTATAATCTCAGTGCTTGGGAGGCTGAAAACAGGACAATCACTATGAGTCTGATCTGTATAGTAAGACCCTATAGACCCTGTATTAAATACATTAAAAAAAAATAAATACATGGTTGTATTCTTACAAAGATTATTTTTTTTTTTTCCTGGAAGCTGTAGAGTTGCCCTAACAGAATCTTATTCCAAGAAAGAACTTGTCATTTATTTGGCATTGACAAGGGCTGGCCAAATAGCTCAGTGGATTAAAGCATCTGCTTAGATGAAGGGACCAGGAGTTCGATCCCTAGGCCTGCTGTGTGGCCCCCTCTCTAGGCATGCTGAGAGGGCAATTGAGACTGGGTGTGGTGGTGTGCGCCTGTAATCCCAGCACTTGGGAGATTGTAAACAGGAGGATCACTACGAGACTGATCTACACGTGAGACCCTGTACACCCTGTACACCCTGTCCTATTTGGCATTGACAGTCTTCCATTAGCATCTGGATGCTCCTCAAAGTGAAAAAAGAAACTTCTCAGAAGTCCTATCCAATGACTGAAAATTGAGGGATAACACAGGTCAGCCACTTCTATCAATAAGACTTCTAACAGACAATCTTTACCTCAGACTGTCATGTCAGGTGGGCCGAGATTTTGTCAGCTCT